TAAATTTACAGTATTTTGTGAATTAACTTTTTAATAAATGTTTGGAATAATATTATTTAAAGTTGAATATATATTTTAACTAATTTCAGAGAACAAAAATTAAGAATTAGTAGATATCTTTAGCTCTTCTGAGACAAAGGCTCAAAGAGCTAATGCTATGGCCATTTGTGCGGTGTGCGTAAACTTTTTAGAATATGGGCCATAACTCAAGAACCCCTTGGCCAATCAGTACCAAATTTGTCACAGGGTATCCATTTATACTAAAATAAGGGTTGGGACCCTTAAACAAGGGGAGATAATCAGGAAAACAAAACCAAAAGTACTGGTTGCTAAAAAATCTTCTCCATAACCACCAGGCAGATTTTCACCAAACTTACATACAAGGATCAGGATATGTCGAAGATTAAAATTTGCACGGGGAATTACCCTGGGGCAAAGGGCATGGTCTCAAGGTCACTTCAAAGTTGACCTAAGTTTACAATTAATAAAAACGTGTATATTTTGCTTACTATAAGGACTAGGATCATCAATTCTTGTATGTTGATGCATCTTATGACTTCACATCATGTTAACTCAAAAGTAGGTCACGGTGACCTCCTTTTTAAATTTTGCGGGGATTTGTTTTCAAATTGATTTGAAGGCATATTTTGGACACTTTAAGGCCTATGATCATCAAACTTTGTCAGTTGATGCATCTTGGGTCCTCGAACAATGTCAACTTAAAAGTAGGTCACCGTGACCTACTTTTTGAACTTTATGACTTATCCTTTTAAAAACATTAAATTCCATTATTTCAGACACTGGGAGGTTTAGAATCATCAAATCTTGTACTTTGATGCATCTTGGGACCTTAAAACATATTTATGAAAAAGTAGGTCACTGTGAAAGTAGATCTACTTTTTGAATTTTCCGACATTTGTTTTCAAATTGTTTAAAATGCATATTTTGATTACCTTCAGACCTACGATCATCAAACTTGATCAGTAGATGCATCTTGGGTCTTTGAAAAATGTCGACCAAAATGTAGGTCACGATGACCTACTTTCGACATTTTTTGGCTATATTTAAGTATCTTAGGTATTTATTGGCTTAGAATCATCAAACTTTGTGAGTCCATGCATATTTGGTTTTCGGAGAGTGATGACCTAAAAGTAGGTCACGGTGACCTACTTTTGACATTTTATGGCTCTATTTAAGTATCTTCGGTACTTATTGGCTTAGAATCATCAAACTTTGTGAGTTGATGCATCTTGGGTTTTCGGAGAGTGACAACCAAAAAGTAGGTCATGATGACCTACTTTTGACATTTTGTGACTATAATTAATTATCTCTGGTACTTATTGACCTAAAATCATCAAACTTTGTCAGTTGATGCATCTTGGGTTTTCGGAGAACATCGACCAAAAAGTAGGTCACAGTGACCTACTTTTGACATTTTATGGCTATATTTAAGTATCTCAGGCACTTACTGGCTAAGAATCATTAAACTTTGTCAATTGAGGCATCTTGGGTTTTCGGAGAATGTCAACCAAAAAGTAGGTTACGGTGACCTACTTTTGAATATCTCAGGTACGTATAAGCTTAGAATCATCAAATTTTGTCAGTTTAGGCACCTTGGGTTTTCGGAGAACGTCGACCAAAAAGTAGGTCACTGTGACCTACTTTTGACATTTTATGGCTATATTCAATTATATCTGGTACTTATTGGCTCGGAATTATCAAACTTTGTCAGTTGAGGCATCTTAGGGTTTCATTGAATGTCCAACAAGAAGTAGGTCACGGTGACCTAATTTTGAATATCTCAGGTACTTATTGGCTTAGAATCATCAAATTTTGTCAATTTAGGCATTATGGGTTTTTGAATAACGTCGACCAAAAATTAGGTCACTGTGACCTACTTTTGACATTTGATGGCTATAATTAATTATCTCTGGTACTAATTGGCTTAGAATCGTCAAACTTTGTCAGATGATGCATCTTGGGTTTTCAGAGAATGTTGATCAAAAAGTAGGTCATGGTGACCTACTTTTGAATATCTCAGGTTTTGACTTATTTAACTAGAATCATCAGTCTTTGTCAATTAATGTATCTTGAGTCCTCAGAAAATTTCAATCAAAAGGTAGGTCACTGTGACCTACTTATGGTATTTTATAATTATATAATATCTTCAGTCTTAACTGGCTAAATATTATCAAACTTTGTAAGTTGATGCATTTTGGGTCTTATGATTCTAATAGAGTTGGAGGCTTCTAATAGAAGTGATAGATTGTACAATTTATCAGAAGAGCGATTCAAGGCCCTTGGGCCTCTTGTTTACAAATGGCTTTAAAAAGTGTAAAACCTGCTTCAAAAAAAAAAATGAAAAAAAAGCCTGCCTGCCACATTGAATTTTGAATTTTTTGGCCTGAGAAACTATTAAATAATTTTTTTTTTGCCCCAAATCATTACATTTTCAGCTCTTCTGTGATTGCTAAAAATTTTCAAGAACCAATGGGCAGATTATCTCCAAACTTGCATCCAATGATGAGAATATGTAGTTTGAAAAATTGTCAGGGAATCATCCTGAGGCAAAGGGTGTGGTCTCACAGCCAGTTCATAGTTGACCAAAATTTTTATAAAAAATTGTTTTGCCCAATAAAAGGACTAGGATCATCAAATCTTGTCAAGTAGATGAATTTTAGGACTTATGTGTTGACTTGAAAGTAAATCATGGTGATGCACCTCTTGAGTTTTGCAGGTATTCATTTTTAAATTAAGTTTTGATGCATAAAGTTGACACTTAGCCTGTGATCAGTTTATGCATCATGGGGCCTGAATGTGTGTCGAACTATATACGGAACTACAGAAACTTATATAGGACCTATTAAAAATATTTTTGAATTCGATATAATGAATTGTCGAATTTGTTATAACAAATTCAATTTAAGTCAGTATAACAATTTCTCTGACTTCGTTATAATTAATTTAATCTGCTAAGACAAATTTGTTAAATTAGTTTTAACGAATTCAAAAATTTGTTGATACAACTTTGTTTTAACGAATTATAAAACTTGTTATAACGAGTTCAATTCATTTTAAACAAATTCTTTAATTTGTTGAAATAAATTAAACAAATTCATTAAAACAAATTGGACAAATTGTTATATCGAATTCATATATATTTTTCTATAGGCCCTGACTGTTGAATTTGTTTAAACAAATTTGATTCATTATAACAAATTTTAGAATTTGTTTAAACAGTTTATTTTGTTAAAACAAATTATTGAATTCGTGTAAATGATTTTAATTTGTTATAACAAATTTTTGAATTTGTTGTAAGGAATTCAACTTTATTTTAACAAATTAAAATCGTTATAATGAATTCAAAGAAAATATAATAACGAATTGAATTTGTTATAACAATTTCGACAATTCATTGTATCAAATTCAAATATATTTTTTGATAGGTCCTTAATGGGCTTCTGTATTAATCAACTTTCTATCAATCAATTTAAAAAGGATGTCACAGTGATCTAGATTTTAGCTCACCTGAGCTGAAAGCTCAAGTGAGCTATTCTGATCACAATATGTCTGTAGTGCGTCTGTCTAGCTGTCTGTCCGTCCATCTGTAAACTTTTCACATTTTCCACTCCTCCAGAACCACTGGGCCAATTTCAATCAAACTTGCCACAAAGCACCCTTGGGTGAAGGGGTTTCAAGTTTGTTCAAATGAAGGGCCATACCCTAATTCAAGGGGAGATAATTAAGAAATAGTGAAAATTTGGTGGCATGTTTTAAAAATCTTCTCGAGAACCACTGGGTCGGGAAAGATGAAACTAATGTGGAAGCATCCTTAGGTAGTGTAGATTGAAGTTTGTTCAAATCATGACCCCGGGCCGGGGGTTGGTTGGGGCCACAATGGACGATTAATTAATTTTTACATAAGAAATATATTGGGAAAATCTTCTTCTCAAGAACAACAAAGCCATGATTAATCATATTTATATGGAAGCATCCTCAGGTAGTGACGTAGATTCAAGTTTGTTCAAAACATGACCCCCGGGGGTAGGGTGGGGCTACAATGGACGATCAAAGTTTCACATAGAGTATTTAGGAAGAATCTGTAAAAATCTTCAACAACAAAGCCATGATTCATTATATTTATATGGAAGCATCCTCAGAAAGTGTAGATTAAAATTTCTTCAAATCAATTGATCCCAGGGGGTAGGGCGGGGCCACAATGGAATTTAAATTTAACATAGGAATATATTGGAAAAATCTTTTAAAATCTTCTGATGTAGAACAACAAAGCCATGATTGGTCATATTTATGAGGAGGCATCCTAAGGTAGTGTAAATTCAAGTTTGTTCAAATCATGACCCCTGAAGGTAGAGTGGGGCAAAAATGAAAGTTCAAACTTATAGGGATAAAAGCCACAGTAAGTCAAAGAAATATGTATGCTTAGTAGATTCAAGTTAATTCATATCATCCCCCTTCTGCCTTTTAGGGGTAGGTTGGGACCACATGAATTTATTTATTGATTTTTGTTTTTTTCCTAGCCACAGTGCTCAGGTGAATGATGTGGCCCATGGGCCTGTTGTTGAGTTTTGCAGGGATTCATTTTTTAAATTGTTTTAGAGGCATATTTTGGACACTTTGAAGCATGAGATCATCTAGCTGTCAGCTGATGCATCTTTGGACATTTTAATGATTTTTGATTGGTAAAGGGCAAAATAATAGTTGACGTATGAAAACTCAATTTACAAATTTTTGACTGTACACCAAGTCCTGATCTTGACCACTTATTTTGTTGAATAATATAAAAGTCATTTTCATTGATTTCTTATCAGTCAAGTTTCATGACTGACAATTAAAAGATTAAAATCCCATGCAACCTAAACTTGGTCTGCAACTCTTCAAATATAGCCAAGGCATGCATATCCCTCAAACATTCCAAACACATATTTTTGTTAACCATGCACTTAATAATGATACTGCAAGTCAATAAAAATTGTTATCACTTTTAAGTCTATTATTTTTATTATGTATTGAATTTCACTTGATTAGACAATAAACAGTTCATTGTATTTTATCATTACACATGTAGGCATTACTTTCAACGACAAAGAGTATCATTTTATAGACTAGATGCAATTGTTCAAGGATCTGAATATTTATTACATTTACAGAAATGCTAAACAATACTAAATAAATATTGGAGAAAAAAAATGCATGTATAAACCTGCAGGGTCATTTATAAAGTAAAGAATCTGGCCCCTGATGTAACATTTAAAGTAAACATTTTAAACTTTGAATTGCGAAAGAAAATAACATCTTGATCATAATGAAATGCAAAAATTTACCAAATCTGCATTTTAAAGAAGGGAAAAAAATCATTACATGCTACAAAATTTTTCATACTTTTTAAAGAACTTTAAACTTTTTTTTAATGAAATATAACAAAAGGAAAAAAATGTATTACATGTATAACAATTAAATACACAAGTAAATAAAAAAAGAAGAAACATTCATCATTGCAATATAAGGTATATTTCAATATAAGTCTGTAAAATGTTCAAAATCCTCCGAATCAAAAATTGTTTGAATTTGATAGAATTCAAATTATCTTGACATGAAACCAAAAAAGTAAAGAGTACTCATATTTAGTATAATGACAAAATGTAGTCATGGACTCATGGCTGTTTTCTGTTTCTTAAAGATTTTACAAAAGGCATGCATTAATTTGGTCCCCATCTTATCATAGGCAACTGAAGTTTATAAACAAGGAAACTTTAAATCAGTTTTATAAGCAATCATTTCTTGGAAAACTTATTGGATCTCACAATGGTACCGAAAATCCACACATAAGGAAACCTCTCCTAATGATCGAAAACAGATATAGAAGATATAACTTCCTATTACAAGTATCAATAAATAATATAGGGTCATTATTCTCAGCAGGAAAGAGGATCTTACAATCAATTAAACTACTTGATATTAATTAAATATCCTGCGTGACAAAAGGAAGCGACCATTGAATTCCTCCATATGGAATTTGTTTCCTACTGAGATGTATGTATACATACTAAATTTGGTTGAAAGTGCCCAATGGGATATATTTGAAAAAAAAAATTCTTTTTTTTCCTGGTGGCAACCAAATTTAAAATGAAAGTGTTTCTGAAAACTACTTAAAAATGGAAGAAAAGATACATAGATGATTTTAGAAAAGCTTTTTGGCTCAGGTGAGCTAAAATCACCAATCATTAATAGGAAATATATAACTAGATAAACTAACTTTTCAATAATTTCAATAAATAAGTATGATACATGGATCAATTACTGACAATATTGAATGGAGATGAGTGAAAAAAAATATAAACACAATGACATGTGCAGGAAGTTTGTAAGTTAAATAATTTTCTGGTATGTACAAAAATTACTGGTGTACCTAATTGGAGATTTTTTTTAGGTGACCCATATACAGGTATAAGCAAATTATGTGTGTAAAACAATATACAGAAAATCTACATAGAGTTACAATTTGAAAAAAAAAAGGCCAAAATAAAATTGATTTTGGACATGCTTGAAGATTTTAATAATTTAAAGAAATCCTGGTTTTAAACTTTGTGTAATTTGAGATTCATTTCATTTTAAAATAACTTTATTGAACATTACTGGAAGACAATGGAATAGTTAGGTTGCATAAATTACATGACAATATTAACAGATGCACAACAAATACAAAGATCTCTACCAAAAATACTAGGGATGTCAACGAGTACCCGGTTAACCGGGTACTCGATCGAACGTCCGAGTATCGAATAGTAAAATCGGTACTCGGTTACTCGGATGTATATTTTTGAATATTTCTAATCTTATTTGTTAATGCATTAAACAATTTGTTTTAAAACGTAAAATGTTCATTGCACTTGTACATACAGTAATTAGGGTTTACTACGACTCTAAATGACCGTTATCCCCTGTGGCAGTGTTTATACAGTAATTATCATGACCAAGTACCTGGGGGTACCTGGCTTTTCTCACCTTCGGCTGCCTTCTTCCCTTATTTTTTGTTTGGCTTTAATTATTTGTTTTCACTGAACATCGTTTAAGATCCATTATGTTTAAATAAATTAGATAATTTTGTCAATTCTCCGAGAAGCCGTAAATTCTCGGGAAAGAGCGGATGATATTACACATGCGATTGTTGATATGGTTGTGTTTGATTACATGCCAATACAACTGGTTGAAGACAAAGACTTAAAAAAAAAACTGATGTCCATCGTTGCATCAAACTACAAAATACCGTCCCGTAATATATAAATCTCGGATCGAACAAATGTACTAAAATCGTAGATCCGCTCTAGATCTGTTGATCAAGTTCAAGTTGATTCTGTACGTAGCTCTGACGACTGATACGTGGTCGTCAAACGCGACAAAGAGTTACATTACAATTACGGAGCAGATTATTTTTTTTTAAACAAAAACACTGTGAACAACTTATGATTTTATTTCTGATGTTTATCTGATAAAAAAATTGAATTCAAAAATTGTTATATTAAATTTCGTCGGGCACGAAGTGCTCCTCATAATTACAACAGAAATACATTTACGGATAAGCCTCCTATCAGTGCATCTGGTTTCATTTCTACAAGAGTTTACAATGTTTTACAGTCTTCAATTTTATTTACACTTTTACCGAGTACCCGGGTACTCGATCGGAAAAACGTCCGAGTAACCGAGTATTGAAAATTGACCGATTTGACATCCCTAAAAAATACAGATGACCATTAAAACTGCATAAAATAAATGCAATTTGCTCTTTATAGCTCTTGAAAACATGTGTATGCACTGTATACAAAAAAATTTTTCATTGAAATACAAATCTAGCATGAGAAATAACCAAGATGTGACTACGAATACTAAATCACCAATAAACCTTCCTTGTAAGAATTTTTCATGCATAATTTGTGAAAAAAATATACCTAATATAAAATTTAAACTTCCATGTGACAGTACTAACATGAAAACAGGAATGCTGCACACCAACATACAAAAAAAGAATGCCTCTGTATTACAAAGAGTACCCATAGCACTGGCTGCACAACGTGCTGGGAGTTTTAGGAATCAACCTAAGTTTTCACCATTATGATGAGACTGTATCAAAGTATGAAGTCTCTCTAATCCGAGTCCTCGTCATCCCCGTAATCATTAGTATAGCTATTCCTGGGAGCAGCTGGAAATAGCAACAATGTAAATGTTGAGATCTATTTTTTGTGTTAAAAAAAACATATATAAAAAACAATAACGAGAATATCACTAATGGTATTCAATTAACCATTAATTAAAAATCACACTTGTTTATTTTTTAAAAATTACTCAAGTTTATTCATCCTCATTGACTTTATCATTATTTAAACATATTCATTATAATAAAAGCTCTATTAAAATTGTTCAAGCATATATTATTGACACATATACATTTAAAATGTATGTTTTTGAGGTACCGGGTAATAAACAAATTGTTTCAGAAAATTAAGGTTAACAATTTTAAAATCTTTACCTGCTTGTTTAATTAAAGCTGCACATTCAGGATCTTTGGTGAGATCCAGAGGTAGTCTGTTCTCATTGTTCTTAATATCCACCCTGGCACCTTAATATAAAGAAGAATTTCCAATAAACAGGTAAATGACGTATAAAATTCATGTCCATTTTGTCATGGACTAACACCGAGGAATCATCAATTTTTAGGGGGAGGGGATGTAAATGTTCAATTTTTTTTTTAATAAAGAGACATGAAGTCCTTAGTGAAATACATGAAATACATGTACAAATGTATACAAATTATCAAACTTCAGTACATGTATTACTAGACTAAGGTCATATGTTAACTTCACAAAAGCAAATCCCATTGAAGCAATATTTTTCCCACTCAAACCATAAAAATCTGACCACATTAAACTAAATGATTTGACAGACACTCACCTTTCTCAATTAACAGCTTGACAGCCTCTGCATGATTCTTCCAGGCCGCAGAGTGCAATGGGGTATCTCCTAACTTATTCTGTGAAAATTAAAAAATAACAAAATATTATCATTATTAAACTGGGAATTATCCATCTTTAAAATCTTGATTGTTACATGCAATTCTAGAAAATTATTCCAAATATCCTCTGTAAAATGACCTGTTGATATACATGTATAAGAATCATTCCCATCAAACTGGAAACAACACAACTGCTGGTGTAAATGTGAACTTTTACATGTGAAGGTATACTGTATCTGTACATATTTTGTGCTGTATTAAAAGTTGAGTGCAATCATTGAGTATAGCATTGTTGGCATAACCAGTATTTTCGTTAGAGATCAATTGTAACAGGCCCGGGGGCTGAGGTTTATACACAGAAACTCTGTGGACAATGATTGCAACAAATTTTTATTTCAAAGCGGCATTTTTGTCAATTGAAGCGGTCAATTTGGCCAGTAGCCGGTTCTTAGGGAAAACACTGCATAACCATGAATAAGCGCTACATATGTCCGAGCTGTGTATTGTAATTTTAAATGCTTTCTTCACAGTATTCATGAATTAGTGCATCGTTCATGCCAAAACTGCTAAAATATGAAGCTCACTTCTTTAAGTACACAGTATCTTGTGCTGGCTTCTTTGATGTAAATTTCCTTACTAGCACTGAGGCTACATTCAGTCAATTTTATTACTGTCAAACACCAACAAATGCAAACAAGATTTAGATGTTACATTTCAATGACGAATTCTGTTACATATGTGGTCCAATATTTCATAGACAGACCTATATCTCATTCTGCAGTCAAACATTGAAATTTTTCCTGACTGCTTGAAAATGTTAGCTTTTTTTAGTACAGTTTTATACAGCAACAATTTTTTAAATGTAAAACAATATTCTTAAGTGATAAATCAATGTCTTTGAGTCTCTACCTCTAGTCACAAGGCTCTCAGACATTTCATCTTTGACATGGTCCTAATAACCTTCGCTCACAATATAACAACCTTTGCCTCTTACTCAATCAAACAGGAAAACAACAGACTATGAAATATAAATACATATAAACCCTGTCCATCTGTAATTAGAAATCACTTAACTAATATTAAATGATCAATTTGAATTAATTTAGGAAATACTCCAGGAAATTAAAAGCCTCAATGGTTTACCTGAACGTTGACCTGACACTTGGAGTTAAGCAACATCTGCATGCAATCAATGTGTCCTCCATGTGCTGCCCAGTGTAGAGGGGTGGATCCAGCTTTATCTAGGGCATTTACAGAAACCTAGGAAAAAAAAATATGCTGAATGTCGGAATCAGTCCTTACCAAGTGGTTTACCATTAAATTGAAAAAACAACAACATTAAATTGTAGGAAATTCACGAAATTAGCCTCAATATAATGGACATGTGTACATTTCCAAAAAAAACAAAAACAAAAAACAATTTCAACCAGTTGAAAGTTCATTTTCTAACCTAAAAAAATATGAAGTAATAATAGATTAAACTGGCTCTTTATGACACTTGAAACTTTTAATTTAGGTACTAAGATGTAAAGAACATTTTAAAAGTGCTTCACTCTATTTAATCTACTTACATTATTTGATATGCATTCCCTCATAAAAGTAATATTTCCACGCCTGGCTGCTTCATGTAAAGGGTAGTCAATAACTTCTGTATTCTTGTCCACTGAAACAAAGAGAATAATGGTAATAAAATGTGATACAAATTAATAAAGATTTACATGTATTGGTTAATTCTCAAATATAACATTAATGTATACCTTTACTTAATATTTTTTCTAGCTCGATACATTTAGTTAATGAATCGTCCTTTCAAAACTTAAGTGGAATGATGATAAGGCATTATCAATACCACGTGAATGTTGACTTCTAGCAAAATATACACTTATGTATGCCAGGTGTGAGTACAATATACTACAGGCACATCAATAAATTAATTATAGTCATACATTAATATCATAGTTCCAAAAATCTCTGACACAACCTAATTTTGGGCTTCTACGAGTACCCCATTTTAAGTGAACCAAATTCATTTTTTCCTCTCAAAGTTAAAATAGTTATTTTAAAATAGGGCCACTTAAATGCCATAGGTACATTATGAAAAGGAAATATGCAATATAAATGTCAATATGTATTAGTAAATAAAATATTATACATATGATAAGGAGCTAGAATATTTAAGCTGGAAGTAAAACATGACCAACAAAAATAAAAACTAGAAACATGTCCATAGGACATGAATGCCCCACTGAGGGTATATTAGTAATGCAACATGAAAATATGTATAAAAATTTATCAGAATATCTTGAAAAATGATGCAGTTGAATTGCTTACATATGTACATCAGTATTTATCAGCATATGAAGTTGACACTAAATTAAAAAAAGTGAGGTCAAGGTCAAATGAAAGGTCAAGGTCAAAAATATTGATGCAGATGAATTGCTTACATCAGTATAAATCGCCATATGAAGTTTGACACTAATTTAGGAAAAGTGAGGTCAAGGTCAAAGGAAAGGCCAAGGTCAATGAATGTTGATATAGTTGAAAAGCTCTCATCAGTATATGAAGTTTGATAAAATATCTTTGATGGTTTCTTTAAAACTGAGCTAAACACTAATATAAAAAAGTGTGGTCAAGGTCAAAGGGAAGGTCAAGGTCAAAAAATCTGATGCAGTTGCATAGCTCTCATCTGTATGTATCAATATGTGAAGTTTGATAACACCATCTTGAATGGTTTCTGTAAAACTGAAATAAACACTAATTTAAGAAAAGTGAGTTCAAGGTCAAAGGAAATGTCAAGGTAAAAAAAAAAATGTTTTTGCAGTTGCATAGCTCTCATCAATATCTATCAGCATACGAAGTTTGATGAAATTATCTTGGATAGTTTCTTTGAAACTGAGCTAAACGCAAAGTGTGACGGAGGAACAGACGGAAGGACAGAAGACGGACATGACAAACACTATATGCCCCCGCCATATTCATGGCAGGGCATAAAAAAATCTGACTAGAACTTTCAAACTATGATTATTGCCACCAATCACTACCAGATGTATTTTTTACATTAAAAACCATTTTGAACATGTTCAAAATGAACTTCCTACTCTCTGCAAGATTATAACCACGACAGACTACAAATAAATAAGTTACTGTTACAGGGATTTCATTTAAACTTAGCATTCTGTAACTTTTATTGATGCTTTAGTAATCTTGTTCCTAAATATAGTATTATAATAGTACATATCATAATTATATGGTCATAATTTGACAGACATATGTACTTTGTAGCCTTCTTTTTACACTAAATTTGACTGTGTAATTGCATGATAATCAAGTCTATTTCATCATTGCATAGGGCTCTTGTTGTGTTTACCTACATACTGTGTAATCAATAATTTTCATATGCGGTTTAGTTTTTGCTGTTTTAGAGGGATGGAAAGATTAAGGTTTTCCGATCATGAAATCAAATCTCCCCAAAACCAATATTTTTTCCTCGAACCTCGAAAATTTGACCTCAAGTAAATATGTGACTTTACAGTATCCAAGGCACTAGATCATTCCTCTGCAAGAATTTCCAAGAGTTTATGTTATATGACATATTGATAGATTTTTGTAAGGCTTTTTTGAGACCTATAACTGTATGTTATATTCATCTACCGGTATTTCATCTTTATATTTGCAAGTATCACCAAAATAAAAAATGATTTTTATCATAAATTTTCCAAGAAAAGAGACAATTTCCCCTTAGTTCCTTGTTTTTATTTTACATTGAAACTCCTTAAAAGAAGTGTCAAATCCAAAACAAGGTCTCACATTTAAGTACTTATTTCCGAGTTTCTTTTCTCGAGACTCACCGTAATTACTAGGAATAAGTCCTGTTTTGTCTCCACACTTTGCTTTCCACCAGTCAGAGTTGCTCATATCAAGAATATACAAGGTATCACCTTCCTCAAAAGACAATTCATCACTCTAAAAAATACATGGTCTTTTTTTGAATATAAAACCTGATAATATTAAACATCCTATAGTAAGGCTTCTTGTCTCTCTTAGGGAGAATAAATAATTATACAAAATTATTTTTTAGCTTTATTTTTGTTGCTTAGTATAATCAAGTCATTAACCCAAGAAATGGTAAATTCTGTAAATAAATTTGTAAATAAAATGTGTATAAAGTGTACACAAATTGTACATTTTGTCAGTCAGAGAGCAGAGTTTTGACACTGTTTACAGACTGAGATAAAATAAAAGACAAGCATGCATATATGGTTGTATAGATAAATTATCGTAGAACTGAGACAATGGTAATAAACAGATTGCCAAATTTTTGTTTGCTAAGAAAGTTTAAATGTCAGAGTGCAATTCTGGGGAAGAGGGTATGCCAAGTAATTCGGAGTTGGATATCTTGTGTTATTATTACATTGCAGCTGGCAGCAGGTTAAAAAATTCTTACAGAAACAAGTGCCTGTGGCTAAACTAGACATTTGTGCATTTCATAAAACATTATGTTAAGTATTGTTAGATGCATCATGTCTTTGCCAATCATAATAGGTTACATGGTTAAGGAAAAAATCTTGCATCATGAAACTTGATAAGGAGAACATTTTAAATAAATTACTTTTATTTTGATTTACTTACCTGTTGAGCATCGTAGTGATACAAGGCTCTCACTACCTTAACATGACCTTATGTGAGAAAGAAAAAAACAAGAAATTAATACTAGAGCTGAATACTACATATCACTAGTATCACGATTATGAAGATAACACATTAATAATGCACCGGGACAATACTGCACAATAGCGTAAGTTTAATTAAATGTGTCAAACAGGACATAATATATTGTAAGTAGACATCTACAGTGTATGCATATCGATAAAGGCATAGAACAAAAAAAATACACGACTCCCCACCGCAGAGAAAAGGACTGTAACGTTTACCTGGCTTTGGAACAGGGGGAGGAGGCCTGCTGGGTCTTGCCGTGGACGTCATACCGCAAGCACGAAGAAAAAGAGATATAAATCGGCTTCGACAGGGAAGAGGAAGTATTTCCTGAATTTTTATTTACACGCAGCGAGGAATGTCGAGCCCGACAAATAAAATATCGGAACACGAGCCCGATGTTGACGATACCCCCACATTATGAAAAAAAGGCCTAAATAAAAAAAAGGTAAATAAGAAATACTTGATAGGTATACACATGCACTTATATAATTAAAAACCAGAAGCCTCTGACAAGACTGTAGCTCTACTGGTTTGTATTTTTAACAGAGGAAGAGATTAGTATCATAAGTTTGCACTTTTAACATGTTTAAAAGCAATTATTAATAATATTGAAATTGATCATTAAAACTATAAAAAGAAAAAAAGAGAGTAGCATTTAAGGAAATTTAAGAGAAGTTTTCATTTTTAGTAATCATGGCAACACCATTCATAAACATAGGTAATCAGAGATTACAGAGCTCACCTCATTTCGAATGTTGTCTTTAAGAAAGGCAAAGTCACACAATTACCCAATAAAGAGTTTACATCCAAAAATGCAAAATTTATGCAATTTTGATCTGATCGATACTTTGGAATAGACCTATATAAAAACTAGTTCTTCATCACGAAAATGTGATTAAAATCCAGCATCTGAAGCAAGCTTGAGAGTTTTCATCCCTTGATGTATCATTTGGGCAAGTTTGGTTTATATAAGCTTTATAGTTTCTTGGTATTAATAGACCTGCACACATAACTTTTACCTGGTCCAATTTATCTGGATGTGGAATTCAGCATACGGAGCAAATTAATTAAGTCCATTAGTGTGCATCCTAAGATGTATCACCCATGCGAGTTTGCACAACACAGGGCTAATAGTTACTTAGAAATGAAACCTTCATAAAAATTTAACCTCTTCACTCATCCAGAAAAAATGTAGGTCAGAATCAGCATCCGAAGCAAGCCTGGTAGTATGCATCCTTAGATCACAATATCATCCATGCAAGTTTGGTCAACATAAGGCTTATAGTTACTTGGAAATGAATCCTGCATCAAAAACTTTAACCTGTTCACTCATCCAGAAAATGTAGGTCAGATTCAGCATCCGAAGCAAGTCTGGTAGTATGCATCCTAAGATGTATCATCCATGCAAGTTTAGTCATTATAGGGCTCATTGTAACTTGGAAATAAACACTGCACCAAAAATTTAACCTGTTCACTCATCCAGAAAATGTAGTTTAGATTCTGCATCCGAAGCAAGTCTGGTAGTATGCATACTAAGATGTACCATCCATGCAAGTTTGGTCATTATAGGGCTCATAGTATCTTGGAAATGAAACCTACACCAAAACCTTTAGCCTGCTCACTCAACCAGAAAATGTAGGTCAGATTCAGCATCTGAAGCAAGTCTGGTAGTGTGCATCCTTAGATGTATCATTCATGCAAGTTTGGTCAACATAGGGCTGATAGTTACTTGGAAAGGAGACCTGCACCAAAAACATTAACCTGTTCACTCAACCGGAAAATGTAGGTCAGATTCAGCATCTGAAGCAAACCTGGTAGTATGCATCCTTAGATGTATCATCCATGCAAGTTTGGTCAACATAGGGCTTATAGTTACTTGGAAATGAGACCTGCACCAAAAACATTAACCTGTTCACTCATGCAGAAAATGTAGGTCAGATTCAGCATCCGAAGCAAGCCTGGTAGTATGCATCCTTAGATGTATCATCCATGCAAGTTTGGTCAACATAGGGCTTAATACTTCCTTGGAAATGAGACCTACACCAAAAACTGTACGTTAAAATGTTAACCTGCTCCAAAAACATTAATCTGGTCATTCCTTTGCTGAAATTGCAGCATCTGAAACTTTGACTGGTACAATGAAACACACTAGAAGCATCTTCCATGCATGTCTAATCAATATAGGACATAGAAGTACTTAAAAAGAAAACTGCTCCAAAAAACTTAACCTGGGACGCCGACAACGAGGGTATTACATAAGCTCCCCCAACTTCGTTGAGGTGAGCTAAAAATAAAATATACTGTAAAATCAAATTTTCATGGTTTACTTTGGAAAATAGACCGACTGGTTCGTGGGGACTTGATTTCATATATATAGCTGCAGCATGAAGATTGAATTGTTCAGACTAGTAATTTAATATATGTGAAAAATTGCATTTTATGGTGGACATAAATTAATGGATCTCTAAATTCATACCTTGAAAACCGCGAGTGGCACTCATATCAATTAATTATTACAATGGGTCCAGGGGATTATATCGATAGAATATATGCACTAGACATGGATTTTTCATATAATATTCTGCTAGACCTTAATTTAATGTAGACCTAGAAACATGGTTAAAAGTCACTGCAAACTATTTACCCATAGGCACCCTGTGGGTGAAGAATATACAAATATGAGTAAGATTCCAGGGCCAATTAGCTAGGAGAGAGAAGATACTCGAGGCAGAATAGGAACAGCTTGGGCACGGCTAAAGCATGGTATCCGCACGGGTTTTTAAAAAGCCATATGGGATCTGCATGTCTCCAATTCACGGACACGCGGATTAATTCCGTGTCTGAAAGTGAGGAATCCTCAATCACAGACACCCGTGTGGAGGCACAGAATCCATGTCCAACGGAGATGGTTTTTAACTCAAGCGGGTTTTGCTTCAAACTATTTATTTATATCTCACGGCTTTTTCTGAGCATGCTTACTCATAACTTCCTTTATTTGAATATTAAATTGGAGGGATTCATGGTCATGGTCGAACTAAGAATGTGTCTTTTTTGCTCTAGTTAAAGGATATTAAACTAATATATGTCAGTTGGAATAGTATTTATGTCAGTCTGGGATGATTTCATCACTTTTGCACTAAATGCAGTACATGTATAAGTGTAATACAGAATAAATATAAGTCAATTTTTCAATTTTCATGCAGATCTTTCTGTATTGCAATGTTGACAATGAACATGATGAAATAGTCTTTGTTTATTTGAATGACTTTAGTGGGACTTTCACTATCCCTATATATTTTATGTCTCATCACTGTGCTACTGTGAATTTAGTTTTATTTAAACTAAATTCTTTCTCAGATTGTGCAAACTAAGTATAGCGCCTTAGAGATTAAATTATAATTGAATTGTACAATTTTATCATTAAAATCTTAATTAAAAATTAAGTATCATGGATTGTAACTGATAAAGTAAAAATCTTTAACAGAAAGTAAAATATGGACAGCGCACTCTTATAAGATTTTTAACTTTTAAAATTCTAAAGCATTAAAATGTAAAGCATTGTGAAGTTAGTTTGGTTTCAGTCACCCTTTTGGCATCCACATTTACACTAGAAGATTCTCTAAAGGCCATGACCTAGATCTAGACAAATGCACAGATCCGGTGACTCCTTATATGGTATGTGACACGGCTTTTTTGACATGGGTTTCCAAAATTCGGTGTCTCCATATATGGAAAAGGATACGGGTTCCAGACATGGGTTTACAGAATCTGTGAGTCCATATATGGAAACTAGCACGGCTTTCTGACATGGTTTAATTTGTAACACCGTGTGATCTCATTTAAATATTTTGGCCAATATCCCGTGCCTTATCTGTGCCTCGACTACTTCTAGGCATGGCTTTCCATACATACTTTACATAGGAGCAGGAGTGCTAAAAGCAAGGGTTTCTGGAGACGGAATCCGAGCCTGAGCCGTGTCTAAGCCGCCCAGACTGTTTCGTACAGGTATATGCTCCAGACAAGAGGCTTTAAACAGGTCGAGACCACTACCTTATATGGAAGGCAATTTTCAACACGTGACGGTATCTTCATCACACCTGTTCGCCAATCAAGTGAATGAGTCCCAAAGCATGACATTCTACTACATGTTTACGATTCAATGGCGACAGGTGGTTTTCGTCGGTTTCTGCATAATATTCACTTCGTCACCGGAAAAACCTTAGAGCTTCTTAATCACTTTTTAAGTCCGAAATTGAAAGATTATATTCCAAATACATTGCTCCATGCTCCCATTTAATATTGGAGTTGTTTTAGATGATAAATAGTTGCTTCGAAAGTTCGAATAATGTGCAAACACTTTGATGTTTGCATGTACATACCGTATAGCGGGTTTTCTTGGCGGGTGTAAAATTTGGCGTTATGCGTGCTCAAAGGTATGCCAATAATTTGGCGTAATTTATTTTAGCTGACACAGAGTTTCAGCGGTTTGCAGATTAACACTAAGATGAGTATTGACTATTTTTCGCGATTAAAATTTTAGCGGTCTATCATCAAAACGCCAAAATAAGCTAAAATTAGCACCCCGCTAAAATAACCCGCTGTACGGTATTATACATTAAAACTTTTTGATAATATTTAGGGGATAAATAATAAAAGCGCACCTTGTACTACTGTCTAAAACTATGTACCTTGACCTAGAATTTTTATTCAATGTCACTGCACATCTGTTGATGGGTGCATTCTGTGAGTAATTAGTATAAACCACAACGGACCCAGGGGAGAAAAGATATGCTCCAGACAAGGATATTTCATACAATTCCGAGATGACCTCAACGTTAGAAATATGGTTCAAGGTCACTGAATACCCTTTATCCAAAAGCACTCTGTGGGTGAAGTATGAGCCAGATGAGGCCAAGAAGAGATAAGATATGCTTCAGAGAACTTGAACGGACAGACAGATGGATTCAGGCAGACTGATGACTATAAGGTACCAGAAGAGAGGGACCCTAGTAACAGATTTTGCAAAATCTATGACATCACAGGAGGGTGGAAATAATATTGACGGTAGCCCTGCAGGGAATAACAGAATATGCCTCAAATATTAGATAATATTTAAATTTTCGATGTCTTTGTTTGAGATAAAATTACAAATAGTCAATGAACTTTATTTCCCGGGCATCAGTGCACTGGTTTATCGAAAGGCATGGCTTAAAAATCATGTGCATGCAGGGCGGGACAAATAAGAGACAATATTAAGTGCGGTTTGTAGCACATGGATTGGTGGAATCAATACGTACCATATGTAAATATAAGGAATAACTGTCAGATTTTTCAATTTCATGATGATGATCAATCGATCGGCTTGCATGATAATTAACCCCCGGGGTCATGATTTGAACAAACTTGAATCTATATACTGCCTGATGCTTCCACATGAGTTTCATCTTTCCTGGCCCAGTGGTTCTGGAGAAGATTTTTAAAGATTTTTTCCTATATATTCCTATGTAAACCTTTGATCAGGCATTGTGGCCCCGCCCTACCCCCAGGGGTCATGATGTGAACAAACTTGAATTTACACTACCTGAGGATGCTTCCATCACATGAGTTTCATCTTTCCTGGTCCAATGGTTTTGGAGAAAAAGATTTTAAAAGATTTTTCCTATATATTCCTATGTAAAACTTTGATTAACCATTGTACGTGTCCCTGCCCTACCCCCGGGGGTCATGATTTGAACAAATTTGAATCTAAGATATGACACTACCTGAGGATTCTTCCACATGCATGAGGATCATCTTTCCTGGTCCAATGGTTCTGGAGAAGATTTTTTAAAAAAATCCTATAAATTCCTAAGTAATTTTTAACTTTGATCAGCCATTGTGTCCCTGCCCTATCCCGGGGGGTGGGGGGTGGGGGTCATGATTTGAACACTTGAATCTATACACTAGCTGAGGATGCTTCCAGACATGAATATCATCTTTCCAGGCCCAGTGGTTCTGGAGAAGAAGATATTTAAAGATTTTCCTTTATATTCCTATGTAAACCTTTGATCAGCCATTGTGGCCCCACCCTACCCCAGGGGGTCATGCTTTGAACAAACTTGAATTTACACTACCTTAGGATGCCTCCACATCAGTTTCATCTTTCCAGGCCCAATGGTTCAAGAGAAGAAGATTTTTAAAAGATGCCTTAATAATTTTTCATCAATTCATAATTATCTCCCCTTGGAAGAGGGCTTGGTCCTTCATTTGAACAAACTTGAATCCTCTTCTCCCAAGGATACTTTGTGGCAAGTTTGGTTGAAATTGGCCCAGTGGTTCTTGAGAAGAAGATGAAAATGTGAAAAGTTTACAACAACAACGACAGACAAGGGACAAATTTTGATCAGAAAAGCTCACTTGAGCTTTCAGCTCAGATGAGCTAAAACGTCACTGAAGTGACTGGGGTGAACTTATAACACAAAAAACTAATCTCCTCTGCTTTTAAGGGCTTGGAACCTTCTGCTTGAAAAAATGCAAATCCCAAATGGAAGAAATTGATTTTTTTTTTTCAAGCAGGCAGCATTAAAAGTTTTGTGCTTTTTTTCTACTGTTCTGCCTTTTCTTTGGCTCTTTGATTGTTTTTAGAGCCTTTTTTATTTTTTTTTTTTCATGTTAATTGTTTCATTTCCTTTGTTTTTTGACTTTTTTAGTTTTGTCTTTTTTTTTTATTCTTTTCCAATGTTTTCTTTTTCTTTCTCTCTTTCTTTTACATTTGGTTTTGATTTTTGAAATTGCACAAAACTTTGGCATTTGAGATTTTAATACAATTTAACAATGGACATTTACAGGTACTTTCATTACAGAACTAATCAAATCAATAATAAATGCTGATTTACATTCTGAATAACACGTACAGTAAATTCTTTAGTGAATTTGTTCAGACTAATCACAAATTAAAAACATAGGTAATCAGAGCTAGATTACAGAGCTCACCTCAACGAATGTTGTCTTTAAATAATGCAAAGTCACACAATTAACCAACAAAAAGTGTACATCCAAAAATGCAAAACTTATGCAATTTTGATTTGATACTTTGGAATAGACCTATATAAAAAATTCAAACTAGTTCTTCATCACAAAAACGTAATTAAAATCCAGCATCTGAAGCAATTTAGAGAGTTTTCATCCCTTGATGCATCATTTGTGCAAGTTTGGTTTATAAAAGCCTTAAAGTTTCTTGGTAATAGCTAGACCTGCACCCATAATTAACTTTTAGTGAGCTCATTGCTCACAGTACCTTTAGTTTGAGTTCTACTGGGTATACTGTCACCAAATCGATCATCAAAACACTATAAAGTAGAAAATTAACAAATTCTTCAACATTTATCTGTATAAAACAGAAGTACATGTATTAAGAAAAAGTGAGAAACATATTATATGTAAATGAAATATAATTTAGAATAAGGATCAAATATTCCTTTGCTTTTCTTTTTCAAATATTATAGTCTTGGAACATTGATTATATTACATACCTGATCAGTGACCGTTATCCACTGCGGTAAGTCTTGCTGTCAAGAAGGTTAACATCCATAAGTCTGCCATTTCCAGGTTTTTCAACCAATTCCTTCCTACATGGCTGTGGCTGCTCAGTTCCACATAATCTTGGACAAATCAACATGCTGGGAGTCTGGTCATCACCAATGCATTTAAATCTACCAATTTTTTCCACTAATCCCTGGTAGATTATTTACTTTTTCCACAAAGACAATGTCCACCATATCCTCTTCAACTTGTCAAATTAATGCAAGGGTCTTATTTTAAACATTGCCAGCTTATAATTCTCTCACTTGCATAAAAAGAGGTGTGTGTAGGTGGGAGAAAGGTGGGGTACCTGTAGAGAACCCATGTGTCCAAATATTTATTTTATTTTTCACTGAATAAAAGATTACAAAGCTCACCTCAGAGTTAACTTTTATGATCACCTGAGTATAATGTACGTAACAATCCGTAGATTAATGAAAACAAAATAAGCTGATAAATATAAAGCTTTACAGTTATTTACAATCATTGGTGAAAAGAAAAAAAGAATTATTTAATTCTTTCAGTAGCAATTAATAAATTAATAAATTAATAAAATTCCATGACTGGTATAAAACACCCTTCTTGAAACTTTAGATCTCTACTTTTATTTTCATCTTGGTTGGAGAACAAAAATTCTATATGAAATCTTTCAAGATGCTGTAGTTCTCTTCATGATCGGGAGGCCCGGGTTCGATTCTCGTTCGTGGTGCCATGTCAAACCTAAGACGTAAACATAGGTAAAGAACTTTCACTACTCAAAGCCCCTGAAGCCCTTCACTGGCATACAGCGACATTTCCATATGAGTGAAAAATTCTCGAGAGGGACATTAAACAATATACAATCAATCAATCAATCAATCAAGATGCTGTATTATAAAATATTTTCTTTTACATTTATTCATTTTGCATGACTTCATGCATTTTCAAGAACAAGCATGAATAAAAATATTACATTTTTGTTTACAAATAAGCAAGAATATTCATGAACAGTTCATGAATTTTAATCATTTATGAACATTCCTGAATAACTTTTACAAATAATATTCATAAACAGTTCATGAAGATGCAATGAACTTTTTATTGGATAATTCTTGAAATGATGAATCTTCATGAAAATGACTATTCATAAATTATTCATGAAAAAAATATTCATGAATATTCATCAACTTTCTTTTATGAATCAAAATTCATGATTTGACAATATCCAATAATAAGTTCATACTGAGATCTTCATGAACATTCCATGAACATTTCATGAATAGAATTCATGAATAATTTAATCCCATTTAACTATATATTCAATAAACTTGATTTGGAATCATTTAAATTTTCATTGTTTAAATTTGAAAGATTTGTGGGGGGCCATAATGTCATGTTATCTCATACTGCTGAAGGAAAGATGACAACATCAGAATGGACAAAGGTTCACTTCTATCTTAATAGCATCAATAAATAGCCAGCACTTATATCAATTGAGTCTCCTAACAAATTGGGGTGTGATCAGTTTTCTCTTCTAGATGAACTGCCAGCCATTAGGCTTTCTAGACTGATCTTCCGGAGCACCCTTGCGAACTTAGTCTGGGACCAAAAGGTGCCCAGTATCCGTCTGCTTCCACGTGGAGGCATCGCATAGGACTTTTTGTGGATAGGCTATGTACTGGCTGGGGAAGACATAAAAATTCCTCCCTTTTCGCATTGCTGCTAGCCAGCGGTGATGGCTGAAAGCGAGAGGTGACAAGCACACAGACACTAACGCCAACACACTCGGCGCGTCACACAACATTAAGCAGACTGTTAGTAGTTTTAGTAGAGTTATTTGTTAGAAGTTTGTTAGAGTTAGTTGTAAGAAGTTTGTTAGAGTTAGTTGTTAGAGGTTTGTTAGAGTTATTTGTTGGAGGCTTGTAAGGGTTATTTGTTGAAAGTTTGTTAGAGTTATTTGTGACAGGCTTGTTAGAGTTATTTATCAGAGGTTTGTTAGAGTTATTTGTTGGAGGTTTGTAAGGGTTATTTGTTGAATGTTTGTTAAAGTTATTTGTTTCAAGTTTGTTTGAGTTAGTTGTTGGATATTGTTAAGAGTTATTTGTTGGAAGTTTGTTAGAGTTAGTTGTTGAAGGTTTTTTAGATTTATTTGTTGGAAGTTTGTTAGAGTTATTTGTTAGAGTTATTTGTTAGAGGTTTATGTTAGAGTTATTTGTTAGAGGTTTGTTAGGGTTACTTGTTGGAGGTTTGTAAGTGTTATTTGTTGGAGTTATTTGTTAGAGGGTTATGTTAGAGTTATTTGTTGGAAGTTTGTGACAGTTATTTGTTGGAGTTTGTTAGAGTTATTTGATGGAAGTTTGTTAGAAGTTTGTTAGAGTTATTTGTTGGAAATTTGTTCAAGTTGTTAGAGTTATTTGTTAGAGGCTTATGTTACAGTTATTTGTTGGAAGTTAGAGTTATTTGTTGGAGATTTTTTAGAGTTATTTGTTAGAGGTTTACGTTAGAATTACTTGTTGGAAGTTTGTTAGAGTTATTTGTTAGAGGTTTGTTAGAGTTTTACGTTGGAGGTTTGTTAAAGTTACTTGTTGGAGGTTTGTAACGGTTATTTTTTGAAAGTTTGTTCAAGTTATTTGTTGGAAGTTTGTTAAAGTTATTTATTAGAGACTTGTTAGGGTTATTTGTTGGAAGTTTGTTAGAGTTATTTATGAGAGGTTTGTTAGAGTTATTTATGAGAGGTTTGTTAGAGTAAATTGTTAGAGGTTTGTTAGAGTTATTTGTTGGAAGTTTGTTAGAGTTAATTGTTAGAGGTTTGTTAGAGTTATTTGTTAGAGGGTTGTTAGAGTTATTTGTTAGAAGTTGTTAGAGTTATTTGTTTGAGGTTTGTTAGGGTTATTTGTTGGAAGTTTGTTAGAGTTATTTGTTAGAGGTGTATGTTAAAGTTAGTGCGCCCTTGCGAACTTAGCCTGGGACCGAAAGGTGCCCAGTATCCGTCTGCTTCCACGTGGAGGCATCGCATAGGACTTGTTGTGGAGAGGCTATGTACTGGCTGGGGAAGACATAAAAATTCCTCCCTTTTCGCATTGCTGCTAGCCAGCGGTGATGGCTGAAAGCGAGAGGTGACATGCACACAGACACTAATGCCAACACACTAGACGCGTCACACAACATTAAGCAGACTGTTAGTAGTTGTAGTGGAGTTATGTGTTAGAAGTTTGTTAGAGTTAGTTGTAAGAAGTTTGTTAGAGGTAGTTGTTAGAGGTTTGTTAGAGTTATTTGTTGGAGGTTTGTAAGGGTTATTTGTTGAAAGTTTGTTAAAGTTATTTGTTGGAAATTTGTTAGAGTTATTTAACAGAAGTTTGTTAGAGTTATTTGTTGGAGGTTTGTAAGGGTTATTTGTTGAAAGTTTGTTAAAGTTATTTGTTTAAAGTTTGTTAGAGTTAGTTGTTGGAGGTTTGTTAGATTTATTTGTTGGAAGTTTGTTACAGTTATTCATTAGAGGTTTATGTTAGAGTTATTTGTTAGAGGTTTATGTTAGAATTATTTGTTGGAAGTTTATTAGAGTTATTTGTTGGAAGTTTGTTAAAGTTATTTGTTTAAAGATTGTTAGAGTTATTTGTTGGAGGTTTGTTAGATTTATTTGTTGGAAGTTTGTTAGAGTTATTTGTTAGAGGTTTATGTTAGAGTTATTTGTTAGAGGTTAATGTTAGAATTATTTGTTGGAAGTTTATAAGTGTTATTTTTTTGGAAGGTTGTTAAAGTTATTTGTTAGAGGTTTGTTAGGGTTACTTGTTGGAGGTTTGTAAGTGTTATTTGTTGGAGTTATTTGTTAGAGTGTTACGTTAGAGTTATTCGTTGGAAGTTTGTTAGAGTTATTCTTTGGAAGTTTGTTAGAGTTATTTGTTGGAGTTTGTTAGAGTTATGTGATGGAAGTTTGTTAGAAGCTTGTTAGAGTTATTTGTTGGAAATTTGTTAAAGTTGTTAGAGGCTTATGTTAGAGTTATTTGTTGGAAGTTAGAGTTATTTGTTGGAAGTCTGTCAGAGTTATTTGTTAGATGTTTACGTTAGAATTATTGGTTGGAAGTTTGTTCGAGTTATTTGTTGGAAGATTCTTTGAGTTTTTTGTTAGAGGTTAATGTTACAGCTATTTGTTTGGAGGTTTGTTAGAGTGATTTGCTGGAGGTTTGTAAGGGTTATTTGTTGAAAGTTTGTTAAGGTTATTTGTTGGAAGTTTGTTAGAGTTATTTGTTGGAAGTATGTTAGACTTATTTGTTAGACGTTTGTTAGAGTTATTTGTTGGAGGTTTGTAAGGGTTATTTGTTGAAAGTTTGTTAAACTTATTTGTTCGAGTTATTTGTTAGAGGTTTGTTAGGGTTATTTGTTGGAGGTTTGTTAGCATTATTTTTTGGAGGTTTGTTAGAGTTATTTGTTAGAGGTTTGTTAGGGTTATATGTTGGAGTTTGTTAGAGTTTGTTAGAGTTATTTGATGGACGTTTATTAAAGGTTGTTAGTTATTTGATGGAAGTTTGGTAGAGGTATATGTTGGAAGTTTGTTAAATTATTTGTTGGAAGTTTGTTAGAGTTATTTGTTAGAGGTTTGATAAGCTATTTGTAGGAAGTTTGTTAGAGTTAGTTGTTAGAGGTTTGTTAGAGCAATTTTTGGAAGTTCGTTAGAGTTATTTGTTGTGGGGTTGTTAGAGGTATTTTTTAGAGGTTTGGTAGATCTTACCTCTGTTATTCTTGAAGTACCTCCATTCCAGCGTTGTTGGCATGCTATTCCAATCCAATATGCCCAGCCTCATCCAAGTCCTAATGCCACCATCTCCAACCATGAAGAGCCAGCCACCACCAAGTCCACCATCTCCAACGATGAAGTCCCGGCAAAGAGAAAACAGAGAAGATTAGACAAAGAAAAATAAAGACAAAACAGAAACAAAATAAAATTTTTACAAGAGGTGTTAGAGTTTTGTTGGAGTTATTTGTTAGAAGTTTGTTAGAGTTATTTGTTGGAAGTATGTTAGAGTTATTTGTTAGAGACTTGTTAGAGTTATTTGTTGGAAGTTTGTTAGAGTTATTTGTTGGAAGTTGTTAGATTTATTTGTTTGAGGTTTGTTAGGGTTATTTGTTGAAAATTTGTTAGAGTTATTTGTTAGAGGTGTATGTTAAAGGTAGTGCGCCCTTGCGAACTTAGCCTGGGACCGAAAGGTGCCCAGTATCCGTCTGCTTCCACGTGGAGGCATCGCATAGGACTTGTTGTGGAGAGGCTATGTACTGGCTGGGGAAGACATAAAAATTCCTCCCTTTTCGCATTGCTGCTAGCCAGCGGTGATGGCTGAAAGCGAGAGGTGACAAGCACACAGACACTAACGCCAACACACTAGGCGTGTCACACAACATTAAGCAGACTGTTAGTAGTTTTAGTAGAGTTATTTGTTAGAAGTTTGTTAGAGTTAGTTGTAAGAAGTTTGTTAGAGTTAGTTGTTAGAGGTTTGTTAGAGTTATTTGTGACAGGCTTGTTAGAGTTATTTATCAGAGGTTTGTTAGAGTTATTTGTTGGAGGTTTGTAAGGGTTATTTGTTGAATGTTTGTTAAAGTTATTTGTTTGAAGTTTGTTAGAGTTAGTTGTTGGATATTGTTAAGAGTTATTTGTTGGAAGTTTGTTAGAGTTAGTTGTTGAAGGTTTTTTAGATTTATTTGTTGGAAATTTGTAAGAGTTATTTGTTAGAGTTATTTGTTAGAGGTTTATGTTAGAATTATTTGTTGGAAGTTTATTAGAGTTATTTGTTGGAAGTTTGTTAAAGTTATTTGTTAGAGGTTTGTTAGGGTTACTTGTTGGAGGTTTGTAAGTGTTATTTGTTGGAGTTATTTGTTAGAGGGTTATGTTAGAGTTATTTGTTGGACGTTTGTGACAGTTATTTGTTGGAGTTTGTTAGAGTTATTTGATGGAAGTTTGTTAGAAGTTTGTTAGAGTTATTTGTTGGAAATTTGTTCAAGTTGTTAGAGTTATTTGTTAGAGGCTTATGTTACAGTTATTTGTTGGAAGTTAGAGTTATTTGTTGGAGATTTTTTAGAGTTATTTGTTAGAGGTTTACGTTAGAATTACTTGTTGGAAGTTTGTTAGAGTTATTTGTTAGAGGTTTGTTAGAGTTTTATGTTGGAGGTTTGTTAAAGTTACTTGTTGGAGGTTTGTAACGGTTATTTGTTGGAAGTATGTTAAAGTTATTTGTTAGAGACTTGTTAGGGTTATTTGTTGGAAGTTTGTTAGAGTTATTTATGAGAGGTTTGTTAGAGTTAATTGTTAGAGGTTTGTTAGAGTTATTTGTTGGAAGTTTGTTAGAGTTAATTGTTAGAGGTTTGTTAGAGTTATTTGTTAGAGGGTTGTTAGAGTTATTTGTTGGAAGTTGTTAGAGTTATTTGTTTGAGGTTTGTTAGGGTTATTTGTTGGAAGTTTGTTAGAGTTATTTGTTAGAGGTGTATGTTAAAGTTAGTGCGCCCTTGCGAACTTAGCCTGGGACCGAAAGGTGCCCAGTATCCGTCTGCTTCCACATGGAGGCATCGCATAGGACTTGTTGTGGAGAGGCTATGTACTGGCTGGGGAAGACATAAAAATTCCTCCCTTTTCGCATTGCTGCTAGCCAGCGGTGATGGCTGAAAGCGAGAGGTGACATGCACACAGACACTAATGCCAACACACTAGACGCGTCACACAACATTAAGCAGACTGTTAGTAGTTGTAGTAGAGTTATGTGTTAGAAGTTTGTTAGAGTTAGTTGTAAGAAGTTTGTTAGAGGTAGTTGTTAGAGGTTTGTTAGAGTTATTTGTTGGAGGTTTGTAAGGGTTATTTGTTGAAAGTTTGTTAAAGTTATTTGTTGGAAGTTTGTTAGAGTTATTTGTTACAGGTTTCTTAGAGTTATTTGTCAGAAGTTTGTTAGAGTTATTTGTTGGAAGTTTGTTTAAGAGTTAGTTGTTGGAGATTGTTAGAGTTATTTGTTGGAAGTTTGTTAGAGTTAGTTGTTGGAGGTTTGTTAGATTTATTTGTTGGAAGTTTGTTAAAGTTATTTGTTAGAGGTTTATGTTAGAGTTATTTGTTAGAGGCTTATTTAGAGTTATTTATTGGAAGTTAGAGTTATTTGTTGGAAGTTTGTTAGAGTTATTTGTTGGAGGTTTGTAAGGGTTATTTGTTGGAAGTTTGTTAGAGTTATTTGTTAGAGGTTTATATTAGAGTTATTTGTTAGAGGTTAATGTTAGAATTATTTGTTGGAAGTTTATAAGTGTTATTTTTTTGGAAGGTTGTTAAAGTTATTTGTTAGAGGTTTGTTAGGGTTACTTGTTGGAGGTTTGTAAGTGTTATTTGTTGGAGTTATTTGTTAGAGTGTTACGTTAGAGTTCTTTGTTGGAAGTTTGTTGGAGTTATTCTTTGGAAGTTTGTTAGAGTTATTTGTTGGAGTTTGTTAGAGTTATGTGATGGAAGTTTGTTAGAAGCTTGTTAGAGTTATTTGTTGGAAATTTGTTAAAGTTGTTAGAGGCTTATGTTAGAGTTATTTGTTGGAAGTTAGAGTTATTTGTTGGAAGTCTGTTAGAGTTATTTGTTAGATGTTTACGTTAGAATTATTGGTTGGAAGTTTGTTCGAGTTATTTGTTGGAAGATTCTTTGAGTTTTTTGTTAGAGGTTAATGTTACAGCTATTTGTTTGGAGGTTTGTTAGAGTGATTTCCTGGAGGTTTGTAAGGGTTATTTGTTGAAAGTTTGTTAAGGTTATTTGTTGGAAGTTTGTTAGAGTTTTTTGTTAGAGGTTTGTTAAAGTTATTTGCTGGAGGTTTTTTCGAGTTATTTGCTGGAGGTTTGTAAGGGTTATTTGTTGAAAATTTGTTAAAGTTATTTGTTGAAAGTTTGTTAGAGTTATTTGTTAGAGTTATTTGTTAGAGGTTTGTTAGGGTTATTTGTTGGAAGTTTGTTAGCGTTATTTTTTGGAGGTTTGTTAGAGTTATTTGTTGGAAGTTTGTTAGGGTTATATGTTGGAGTTTGTTAGAGTTTGTTAGAGTTATTTGATGGACGTTTATTAAAGGTTGTTAGAATTATTTGATGGAAGTTTGGTAGAGGTATATGTTGGAAGTTTGTTAAATTATTTGTTGGAAGTTTGTTAGAGTTATTTGTTAGAGGTTT